ACAGATTTTCAACCTGAGAAGCCCTACATAGTGTTAGTGTGAGTTGGAATTGACTCAATGGCAGTGGGTTTCTTTTTTGTTTAGGAATACAAGGTAGTGTGGCACTGTTCACTAGATACCTCATTATTAAAACGTTTGTCGCATTCCTTGGATTAGTAAAGCTGTTTTGCACTTAACTTGAAATATTCAATGACATATGCTTAGGACATCTCATTAGCTTAAGGTTTTCCATCAATTCTTCTGAGAAAAATATGAGCTGGGGGCTTCCTTTAAATGTAGATCATAGAGCCAAGCATCTTAAAGCTTATCTTTGCACTACTTTTTCACAGGAGTGTAAATTCTTTTCTTGGATCTAGGTGCTTTAATTTAGACGGTTGACACCTTTCAGAACATGTTAGTGATCTTTATTTAAAATAGTGCACAAGTATTCTCACTTGGTCATTAAATTCATTTTTCATGTAATGCTAATTTCTCTGAAAAGCGTGTGGTTTAATAATCACTGTGCATACTCTTAAATAGTCACAAAGCTCATTTGCATGAGATATGTGAAAGTAATGTCTTGAACTGAAACACGTAATCTTTCCAGGATTAATGTATGCTTGGAATGCTTATATTTTAACTTTGCCCTCATATATAGATCCATTCAAGATTATCTGCTTTTTAAATTATGCTTTTCTTTTAAAAAAATGTAACTATCAAGCAGTTTTTCACAGAGAAAGCATGTATAGTTTGTAACTTATGTTTTTGCATGAAAAACATATATGATGTTGATTTTTTCCAAACGAGGATATAGTTGGGATACATTACTCCCATTGCCACCTTACCAAAAAACTGTGCCTGCTAGAAAACATGCAATACGCTCCAATTAAACTTCTCCTGCTGTGTTTTTGTTACTATCTAGAAGTCAATGTAAAGTCAAAAGACAAGAGAGCTAGTGAAATATGGCCTGCAGAGGCTTTGATGTGATCTTTGGTATAGCTGACTTGGATGGCTATTGAAATCTTGGTAAGCACAACCAGAAATGAAGATTTATTTGACCAAAAGGCATTTGGAAGAAGCTGAAGATGGTATATTTAAGTATATTCAACATCAGTTCTGTAAAATATAATAAAACAAATGTCAAAGCAGGACATATAAATTTTTTCACACAATTTGACTATGCGTAGTTTATAATGTAGGCTTTCAGGTTTATGGGTTTTGAATGCTTTTCACTTAAACCCATCCTTTTCCTTCATTATCTTTTAGTTCTTAAGACAGAAGAACCAGATAAGTTTATATTGTGTATGTGTGCTTATATATTATGTCTATGTATTTAACATGTTGCAGGTTTTGCTAATAAAATTGTACTAAGATGTGTTGGCATTTGCGTGTACACAAGCACAGTATGTGATTGTGTGCCTACCCTCAAGGATGGTTTTAACTGTTAAACATGTTTGCTTTGAATCTTTTATACCAGTTGTTATGATTGTATTTGTCAGTTGTCATTAAAATAGTATGTGTCTTAAAAATGCAAAATGTAAAGTGCCGTATAATTTTGTTTGGGTAGCTGACTATTGTTTTGTTTGACCAACTTAAGTTAACATCATTCTCATGTAATGTGCATATTGTATCACTGTTATTTTTCTATTTTTGTAATGGTCTGTCTTTGAATTAAGCTTCTGAAAGTTTAAAATTACCATGTGACATCTTTCCTTAATAGCTGTCACAAGAAGAATGTAGAGGTACATTGTACAAATACAGACCTGATGAAGTGGATATTGATGTAAGTATTAGTGTATATAGACATATGTTGTCAATGTCTGTCATATTCTCTATCCAGGCTTTGTAAAGAAGCATGAAAAGAATCTCCTATTGTGCCTTCCAAAGTAGCATCAAATAAATTAGCAATTTTCTTAGGTTCCTTAGAAGTAAATCCTTTCACCTCTGCCTCTACCTCCATCTCCCTCCCACCGTATCCCTAACTCCACCATCATGAGCAGTTAAACATGTTAAGGCTACCTAGTGGTAGAATTCTCAGCTCCCAGGCAAGAGACTCCGGTTAAATTCACAGCATGGGCACTTCATGCTGAGCCATCATCTGTTAGTGGAGACTTGCATGTGACTGCAAAGTGTGCAGTCTAGATGGACCGGGAAGAAAGGCCTGGCCATCACCTTCTAAAAACCAGCCAGGGAAAACCAAGTGTCAGGGAAAACCAAATCAAAGGTAATAACAATAACAGTGAAAGTAAAAGACTGTTTCTGATAAAATATCGTAGAATGCTGTTTTATAAAGAAAATATTAATCCCTCAAAATGTTGTCACTGCTTCCCTCTTGAAGTAGGTATAGGCTTCAGTCATATTTCCTATCACTGATCTGCTATGCATTCTACTTTATATCTCATTCTTCGTTCATTGTCTTGGATTGATTCCATGGAGTTGTACCTTCTTACTCGCTTGAGTTTTGTCTTCGTTTATTGGTGGGGAGGGCAAGATATAGCTTGAATTTTGCTGTCTCTGAAAGATACAGTAGTTATTTTGAAACATAAGTGGCAATACAGGGGAAGACTCAAATTTCTTATATATCATTATGCTAAGAGCATGATACACACTCTTAGTTTGTTTCATTTTTAATTTGCCTCCCTAGGCTTCATAGAGCCAGGTAGAATAGATCTACCCAGAAATCATTGCCCTGAGGTAATCTTCAAAATACTAAACCAAAAATATCACCTACAGTCATCTAATAACTGAACAATAAATTAGTCTAACAAGAAAATAGGTCTGCCTTGAATATTATATTCTTTTAACTTAAAAAATTCACTGCCATCAAGTCAAGACTGACTCATAGCGCCCCCCTGTGGGTTTCCAGGACTAACTGTTTAGGAGAGTAGACAGCCCAGTCTTTCTCCTGAAACTCTTGTGAACATGATCCATATGGGATGCAATTGAGAGCAGCAGCTTGAAAGATTAGCTGAGAACCCGGGTGGGGGGAGGGGTGTTCATGAGTTCATGTTAAGGAGGAGCCGCTCAGAAAAGGAGGCTGAGGGTGGGTGTACAACTCAAAGAATGTCAACCGTGCCCCCAAATTGTATCTGTCATAACTGTTGGATTTGCATATGTTTTGTCGTGTATATCCTCAACAACAACAGAATGAATCAATGGCTTTCTCAGGGTCCATTTGTCATTTTAAAACGAAAATTAATGAGAAAGAAGAACTGCTCCTCTGTACTCTTGAAATGAATACTATTAAGACATTAAAATGCTGAAAGTAATGTTTTTATTTGTCATACGAGCAGAAGAGCATAATTTTAAAATATATAGGAGACTCTAGTTGGTGTTTTACATTAAAGGCTGTGCAATTAATGGCTTTGAACCTCAGCAACAGATGGTAAGAGGAATGGAATCGTAGGCACATTAAAGTGAGCCATCATATGAAAGTGTCAGACTGGCTAGACCAGAGGAGGTACACTGGTACAGATAGGAACTGAAAATACAGGGAATCCAGGA